CACCATGCCAAGTATAAAAGTCTGTCAGAGTGCATCCTCTTCCTCTTGAAGTTTAGCTTAAATGAAGCCTCTCCAGTGGGAGCATTTTGATTTCTCCCTACTGAATTGTAAACTACGTATCTGTCACTGGTGTCTTATTCCTATCACTTAAAACACTAGGTACACTGTTAGTGCTTGTGATCCGGAGGTTCCTCCGATAAGCCGTGGTCCCACCCCCTTCCCAGGTTCTGTGAAAGGAGTCAAACCCATTAAGGGGAGGAGCCGCTGCCTTGGCGTGTGGGTGAACACCAACTGAGGGCTGAGAGACCGGGCAGGAGATGGATGGCATGTGCATTTCAAATATGGAACCTGTAACAATCCGTGTTTTTGTAAGTCACCCCCTCCCAAATGTCATATAAACTATGCAAAATTCAAATAAGGTGTCTTATGTGGGTTTGTTAATCTGTGTCAGGACCGGGAGACCCTAGAGCCATCAGAGGGCATGCCCACGGGTCTCCCAGGGGAGAAAAAGGGAACAATTTAGTGACACAGTGCTCAATAAATACAGCATGAAAGGGATACTCATTTTTTAATGTTTAGTTCTAGATTCTGATGGCATAAGCTTCATAGCATCAGGAAACAGACTAAGAGTCTTGGGTATATCTAAAGCTGCAAGTTCTCCAGAGACCAGGGGCAGGCTCTCCCAATAGACCTCTAATGCACATATGTAGGAACATCCCCTCCAGTAGGGTCAAGCTGAGCACTTGCTGCTGGTCCTTGAGATCTGCTCAAGACTGTTGATCCTAACCTGATGATTAGGGGAAGTGAAATAGTGAGATACACTTTCCCCAATCCATGCAGCCGAGAAAGACTGGTTTATCTTCAAGTTGAAGAAGGGCAGGGAGCAGATGGGATTCTGACCCTCATGTCCGCAATTGTACCCATGTCTTTTTTAACCCAGCTGCTTTTCTGCTCAGTCACTAAACAAAATCCAATCATCCTTGCTGAGGGGGCTTCATTTGCTCTGATTAAATAGACTACAGTAACCGCCTACCTGAAAAGCATTCCGTGAACTCATTTGCAGGTACTCTGTAAACTGAGGGAAAAAAACAAGAGCCCTCAACTAGAAAGGGCATCTCCAGTGAAGGCTGTCAACAGAGAAGGTGAAGGGTACTTTTTAAAATAGAAACAACTCTCCAGAGGATTTGATTACAGAGAAAGGAAGGCTTTCTGAAGTGTAAATGAAAATAAAGCATGATTTTTTAATTTGCAATTATACAAAGAGAATGAGCCTGCTAGGAACCAAACTGATACTCCGAATGTGCAAAAGGAAGAAATTTCATACAGGGGAGGTCAAAAGCATTCAAACACAGAATCTATAAATAGAAAGGAGATCTGAGTGCTTCTGATACAAGAGACAGTTGGTTCAGGAGAGAAAGTAACACATTAATAGAGAGTAACACATTGTGGTGGTTTGGAGAAATGCTCCCCATAGGCTCATGTATTGGAATACTGGGTCCCTAATTGATAGTGCTGTTTGTGGAGGCTATGGGACTTTTAGGATGCAGAGCCTTTCTGGAGGAAGTACATCACTGGGTGGGCTTTGAGGGTTTATAGCCTCACTCCACTTCCAGCTTGAGCTGTCTGCTTCTTGCTTGTAGTTGAGATATAACATAGGACTGTCCTCTGAATGTCAAGCTATGGACAGCCACCTTCTTCCCAAGCTTGGTTGCATCATCACAAACTTGCTTAAGCTCATCAGAAACTCCCAGCAGGGGCTGGGAGAGTGGACCACACCTCCCAACCAACCAGTTGTACAAGGAGGGAGGGACTAAGGGTACCTAAGCAGATGAAGCCTGGAGGGAGATGCTCTCTTGCCATTTTGGTATGACTGATGGGAAGTCACAATCTATGCCTGGATGGAGACTTTCTAGTGAGGGCTTCAGGGGGAGCACCCACACTCCTGTAAGTAAACCCTCACCCACTGCTCTGTAAGCAAGCCCAAACTCGCTGGTTTTCCAAACTAGTGTTTGGAGGAATTGTACCTTGCTTTGTCATAGGAACCCACAGGTGGAGGGGGCCAGATGTTACTTGGGCCTCCCAGAAGGAATTTTAGCAACAGGTATAATCTCTGCTTCCCTTCCTGCTGCTTGTTACCATGCCCTCTGCCATGATGGACTCTAATCCCACTGGAACCAGAAGTCAAAATAAACTCTTTCTTCTATAAGTTGCTTTTGGTCATAGGATTTATCACATCAAGAGAAAAGTAACTCATACATATTAATAGAAAGTAACATATGAACAAAAATAATAAAAATACAGGTGAAATAAGAAATTCCCTAAATATAGAGAAAAAGCTCAAATAAAACTGAGCATAGCCTCAGGAAACTATTGAAATGCTGTGAAGGAAAAGTGACGACCATAAACTTTTGGAAAAAAACTAAGCCACTTGCAATGGTGATAGAACCAGACATAAATTATACTCTGAGCCAGGAGAAAATTCAAACAGTGACTATGGAATATTGAGAGTAAGGTCAACAATAAATCTATACCTAGCCAAGATATCATCATTAAGAGCAAAAGAATACACTTGAACAAATAAGGGTTTGGAGTACCACCCTAAAGAGGGACACAGAAAGTATTTTCACCACATGAATGTAAGTCAGAATATAGGGCTCCTGGTGCCCAAAAATAAGGGGTACAGGAAACAGGGATAGTAATGTATAAGTGGACAACATTGATACATGATTGAATCTATAATATGCTTATGGATTTCATTTTAAACAGAAAAAGAAATCCTTAATAAAGTAAATTCTAAACTATCTCAACATCTAAAATGGAGGAGAGGGTGGGCTTGCACTGTATGTGCAGGGAAAGGGTGGAATGGGAAAATAAAAGATGTCTCAAAATAAGGAAAGGAGCAGAGAGGAGCTAAAAGGTTCTGGGAACATAGAAATGATACAATACATATATATGTGGAGAAATTCAAATTTAGTAATAATTGTGTGGTAAAGAGTCTGATGAAAAAAACTTTATGCTTAAAAAGTAGAGGGAAAAAAAGAAAATTAGGAACAAGAAACAAGTAGCAAATGACAATAAAAGTATAAAAACCGCCGGGTGTGGTGGCACACACCTTTAATCCCAGCACTCGGGAGGCAGAGGCGGGCAGATCTCTGTGTGTTCGAGGCCGGCCTGGTCTACATAGTGAGTTCCAGGCCAGCTGGTGTTACTGGGAGACCCTGTCTCAAAAAAGACAAAAAAAAAAGTATAAAAACCTAAAACCAAGTCTGTACAGTGCCACGGTCACTGTGGACTAATTCCATCACCAAGAGACAAATTTTTTTAGAATACATTTATTCCAAAGAAAGGTGATTTTTAACTTGAAGCAGGTTACATAAAAATATATATACAGTGAAGTTTAAGGGGGAAAGTAGGAATGAGAAATCAAAGACCAAAGGATTTGCCAACATGGGCTCAACTTTGGTGGAATAATGAAGGTTTCCATTAGCTCTGTTTTTTTTTTGTTGTTGTCTTTTAATTCTAACAAGTTTATTAGGCTTGGTAACAGAGCATAGGGTCAGGGTTTATTTACAGAAGGGTGCCCCCTGCCCCATTTATGGCTGCAGTGGAAAGTACACACTCAAATATTGCACTTGTGTAAGTGCTTCCATCTTGTGCAATGTCCTTGGAGGACAGAAGAGACTGTTGGATCCCCTGGAACTAGAGTTACGGGCAGCTGTTAGCTGCCATGTGGGTGCTGGGATTCGAACCCAGGTCTTCTGCAAGAACAGTCAGTGTGTTCTTACCTGCTGAGTCATCTCTCCAGAACTGTGGGTGCCCTCCTCCCCCATTTATGGCTGCACTGGAAAGTTCATGCTTAAATATAGGTCCTGTGACTTCCCAACAGCTGCACAAAATGGCAAGAGAGGTGCCTTATGGCATTCTCAGTTTGTATGTCCCTAGTCCCTCTCCCACATGCAGCTAAGGTGGACTGATTGGATGGAAGGGGTAAATGACTCCCCCCTCGACTCCTTGAGGAGCATGGGAAGGAGGTGTGACTATAACTTGCCAGCATAGTGGTTGGAGGACACTTCCAGTTAACACCCCTTCCTCTGGCTCTTACATTCCTTCCACTCTTACAACTTTTTCCACAAAACAAAAGACACATTTTATATTATATTATAAAGCCCAGGTCTAAGGCTGGTCTAGAGAGGCACTGAAAGAAAACTACAAAAACAGACTGAAGTTAAGGGTAGGGGCAATGCATTAAGTAGATGCAAAAAAAAAAAAACGAATGAGCAGCAACATTAGTAGTGATTCAAGTCCGAAAGCAGGAACCAGGTCAAAAAAGAATGACATATTAGGGGGAAAATTAATCAGCAGAAAGGCTTTGTGGAAGACATGAAACTTAATATGATACATAATAAAGCAGTCAAAGATAAAGCAAACCCCCCCAAAATGCAAGGAGAAATTGACAAAAACATATTTATTGTCTGATGTTTTTAATATAGACTCGACAGTTCAAAAATACAATTAAGGTGACAATTAAAAGGACTTGAGAAGTGTAATAGTTGGACTTTTATATGCTTGTAAGATATAAATTAATCATACACTTGATCAACAGCAATCAGTAAGACTTTGATGGATTCCATAAAGTAGATTTTATTTTTACAGCATTAAAAAAAAAAAAAAACAACAATAGAAATATTTTAAAAGTATTTTCAGTATTAGGAAATTAAAATTTCTCTTCCAGATAATTCTTATTTAAAATAGGGACTCAAAATTGAAACCAAAAATTATCCAAAAAAGAAGACACCAGATACAGCTAAAGCTATGTACAGGGGGAAATTTGTAGCCTTAAGATTTTATTTAAAAATAAAACAAAGTATACATACTTGTATTTTCACTCTATATTTGGAACTCTTTCACCTTACTTTTCCTTGATAATTGAGAAAATGATTGGGTAGCCCTGGGACCCTCTGATGATTTTATATTTTTTTCATTTGATCCCTTTTTCTTCTCTCATTTCTTCTTTCATCGAGGTCACAATGAGAACAAATAAAGCGATCAAGAATTTGTCTGTCTGAAAAATGAAGAGAAATAGGATGAAACTTCCTATCTGAGTATTTCAAGGTGAACTAGGAAAATTCTAACTGGAGGCAAATACCTGACGACAGCATTATGTTCACAAATTTGATGCAGAATCAAGAGTATAAGGATACCCTGCCGGATGCACAAAGAGGCACAGTGGCCATGTTCTTCAGAGTGACTCAGCAGGCTCCCTGGAAAGGACATGGTTTTGAGGAGGAAACTGACCCATTCAGTTCTGTGCTGGCAAGCATTAGCAAGCCGTTTAACCTGTTGCTTCGTCACCTCCTCATCTCTGAATGTAGGTCACAGTATTTAGCTTGCACTGTGTGGAATGGACTGAGGACACTATGTGATGTGCCTGGCCCACCAAAGACAATAAACAGTAGCCTTATCTGTTCCTACAGGGCGAACAGTAATAAACAGTGGTGAAGAATGACTGGGCTCCACTGCAAAATCTTCACACCATCCAGGGCTGTTTTTCTGCCTCCCTACACTGTTAGTCTTTGCCAACCTTGAGCCACAATGATTTGACTTCTGAAGTCTTTCAACTTGACTTATAGTTCCTCATCTGTGAAATGGAGTCTTATGCGGTTTTGAACATCTGTAATTCTCTAACTTAATGACAAAATTTGTACAGAGAGGAGCTGTAAGGCTGTTCACTCCCAGACTTGTCATCTGTACAGTCTTCCTCTTGTTCAATGTTTTGCCAACCTTGAGCCACAATGATTTGACTTCTGAAGTCTTTCAACTTGACTTATAGTTCCTCATCTGTGAAATGGAGTCTTATGCGGTTTTGAACATCTGTAATTCTCTAACTTAATGACAAAATTTGTACAGAGAGGAGCTGTAAGGCTGTTCACTCCCAGACTTGTCATCTGTACAGTCTTCCTCTTGTTCAATGTCATAATGTGTTTTCTACAATTACATTTGATTTATTTGTGAACCATTCCCACCCTATCCCACACCTTTCTTGATCCCAGTACTTTTTTTTTAATCCCAGTACTTTTTAAAAAAAAATTAAAAATTTTAAATTTTATGTGTATGAGTGTATTGCCTGCATGTATGTGAGTGCATCCGTGTCGTGCAATGCTGCAGAGGTCAGAAGAGGACTTCAGATTCCCCTGGAACTGGAGGTAAGGACGGTTCATAACCGTCATGTGGGTGCTGGGAATCGAACCCGTGTCCTCTGCAAGAGCAGTGATCTTAACCGCTGCGCCATTTCTCCAGCCCCAACCCCAGTACTTTTTAACTGAGCTGGGCTTTCCACAAAAGAAAATGTACTGACCTCACACACAAGGTTTGGTCAGTTGACATTTGTATACCTATAAGTCACACCCATTTAGAGATAGAGCTCATTCCCATCACTCCCAGAGATTCTTTCTGCTACTTCCCCACCAATACTGTTGACCCCAAGACAGGAGCTGGTTGATTTTTTCATCATAGATGAGATTTATCTGCTGCAGACTTTCAAATAAGTAAAATCATACCAAAGTTAATCTTTCATGTCTGGCTTCTTTTGTTCAGCATGTTTAGAGATCATATGTTTTGTTTATCAATAATTTGTTCCCTTTTTGTCATGATATGAATAGATTACACTTCATCCATTTTCCTATTGATAGAGATTTAAGCTGTATTCAGTTTGGGGATATTAAGAATAACAAGGTTAAACATTTTTGTACAAGTCCTTTTGTGGCCATATGCTTTCTTTTCTCTCGGACAAATATCCAGAAGTGGAATTTCTAAGTCATGGAATAGGTATGTGTTAAAGTTTGTAAGATGCTGTTGAATATTTCCCAAAGTGGTTCCATGATTTGATATTTTCCAGTGTGTGAGAATTCTGACTACTACTCCACATCACCATCAACAGGTATCTTCAGTCCCCCTTCATTTTCAGCTTTGTAGTTTTGAATTTTATACTAACATATAAAAGTAACACAATGTCCTCCTCATAATAAAGACATGGGTAGAGGGGAAATCAAGGTGGGTACATATTAGCCAAAAAGGATGACTCTGTTGAATTTAACCTCAACCTAAGTGTTCAAAGCATGGCGCTGCCATTTGTACTTTGGACGCTATTTGTATTTATTATGTGTGTGATGTTTGGTCTTGGTTGCCAACTTGACTGGATTCAGAGATGTCTAGGATTACTGAAATATCCCTGATTGTTTGTGGGGATGCTTCCAGCAAACACTAACATATGGGATGGTAAGTAGGAGAAGGCTGCCCTCACTGTGGGTGGCATCTTCCAAATGACACTTCAGATAAAAAGAAGTCTGAGGCAAAAGCAGCCAGCAGGCACTGACAAGTGCCTCTTCATGATCCACTCTATCTCTGCTGCTGCCGTCCTCCAGTGACATCTGACTCCACCTTCTTTAGCCTTTCAACATGGACTACACCAGTGGCTCTCCACAGAATGTCAGGCTTAAGGAGCCTAATTGGGATTGTATTGCGGAGCTTCCGGGATTGGCGGTTATCTTGTTCTCTGTCTCTTCAGTGTGCAAATGGCTATTGTTGGACTACCCAGCCCCTACTGTCTGAGACAGTCTAATAAATACTTTTTTATACATACATTCTGTTGCTTCAGAAAATCCTGCCTAATGCGTGTTAATGCAGATTCATGTCCTCTGAGTTTTGTTTATGTTGTTGCCTCTGCTAGAACAGCCTTGTCGCTCCTTGTTTGCAGTCTGCTCTGACCCATCATCTAAAAGATACTTCCTGTGAGGACCTGCCCCTCATTCCTTGTGGACTTACAGGGCTAGGAGTACTCTACTCAGGCTTCACTATAACTAAACTTTTCTTTAATTACAGAGTACATGATTTTATACTTATATTCAGTCTTCCACACTGGATAGAGGGTTCCCTGATAGGATGGATTTGCTTTTATCTTTGTATGAAGTGAGCATTATAGGTAATCAATGAGGTTTTCTGAGTGCATTCTTAATAGTGAATTGCAGACAAGGAAGAAATAATCTGTGAATTTCAGTTGGAAGAAGAAATAGCCAGGGAGTCATAGCTAAAAAATATGCAGAAAACCAGATTTAAGATAATTTTATCATTCAAGTGGGAAGAAAGTGGGTAGATGACACAGTTTTACCAGATAACATATGTAGAAAGCATCAGCTTTGGGGTTGTCTGAATCAAACTTAGGGAATAAAATAATTTTGGACATACATTGTCCACTAAACACATCTAGTTCAGTCTTCGAGTTAAAAATAAATCCAGTATGGATTGTGTATCTCTCATCCAAAATGCTTGGAACCAAAAAGAAGTTCAGATTTTCTTGGATTTGGAGTAAGTGCATATACATGTTGACTCTCTCAGGGACTGGACCCAAGTCCGAACAGGAAATTCATTTATGCTTTACGTACACTTCGTCCACATAGCCCGAGATGACTTTGTAGGGTGTTTTGAGCATGTCTGTGTTTTCACTGTGACACATAATGCCAGGTCAGGAGTGGAATTTTTCACTTGTGGTCCCTCATTGGTGCTCACAAGGTTTTGGATTTCACATTAGAGATGATTGACTTGTACCAAATAGTGGTAAAAATGGAAACGAAGGCCAGCCTTCAGCTTTTCTCTCCCTTTCCTTCCACAGCTCTATTTTTTCATTTGTTTGTTTTTTTGTCTTTCTGGACTTTTTACTAACCTTCCTCATCCCAGTCAGCTCTCCATCCAGCTCGCCACCCTGTCCTAAGCCATTATTTAGAAGAAAAGTTGGCTCTCTGGTCTCTTTCTCTCTGTCACTCCTCCCTCCCCTTCCTTCCTCCTGTCTGTCTCCATCAAAATGTCCCAGCTCTGGGCTCCTATTCTGTCAAAGCTTACTACCTATACAAGATAATACAATCACGTGATTTAAGCTGAGTTGATAATAATTGAGTCTAAGACATCTGCAAGTTTTCTTATTCTGAATGCTTGTTTGGCCCCATTGTGAAAGAGTGTTGCCGAGATATCCATAGCTGATGAGCATTTGTGTCGTCCCTGACACTAGAAAATGACAAGAGATTTCATGCATAAAAATGCCAAGCGAACCCTCTACTTGCTGGTTGGCCCCCTAACTGCTGACCAGTGAGCATGCTAAAGCAGGACTGTGACAGAGCAGCTCCTCCAGCAGCCCAGGGCATCGCAAGGCAGCCAAGCTGTGGGCCATGTACCTTCAGTACCTGTCCTCAGTGTTGCTGTAAGGGAACCGGAAAGCAGGAAAGCGAAGAAGAAACAAAAGTGTAACTTGTCTCAAAGTTTCCTTGTTGGGAAGTCAGGCATGGCAAGCCTGACTGAGGAGACAAATAATGCTGACTGAAAGTTCAGTTTGTTTGTGGGGAGCAGATGCCAAGCTAAGCAGCAGCTCCCAGAAATCCTCAGCTCACCCTTAGGGAGCAGCACCAAGGCTCAGACAGCACACACAGACAGCATGAGACCAGGTGGCTGGCAGATGTGACGGCTGCATTGGCATGGCTGCCCCTGGGCAAATGGCAGCACCTTCTTAGGGAAAACAAAAATGTTCTTTCTGTAGGGTCCAGTGCATGTGGCTCCTAGAGGCAAAGTGAGCTCCTTGTTTGCAGAGAACCATTTTCTTTATTTTACACCAAAACTAGCGCAGAGAGAGGGCAGGCAGCTTGGCTTTGCTGCTGAGCTTCTGCTGTTTTCAGGAGCAGACATCCAGGAGACTCTCAGCTCCCAGGAGAAAACACACCCTTCTTCAATATGTGCCAAAGCAGAAGCTTCCAGTACTTCCCTGAAGCCCAGTATTCAGGTCATTCTTTCCTTCTCAGTGTGTGTGTGTGTGTGTGTGTGTGTGTGTGTGTTGTGTGTGTGTGAGCATGTGCATATATCTGTATGTGTGTGTTTATGTGTGTATATCTTTGTGTGTATACGTATATGTATGTATGTGTATGAGTGCGTGTTGTGGTGCATACAATGTGGCGCGCAGGTGCACACGCCCATGCATACACATGCAGAGGCCAAAGGAGGACTTTGACATCAACTGACTTCCCCTATCACTTTCTGCCTTATTCCTCACACTTGAACTGGAAGCTCACTGTTTTGGCTAGGATGGTTGGTCAAGCAAGCTCCTGGGATCTACCTGTCTTTGCTCTCCAATGCTAGGATGGCAGGCACTTGAAACCATGCCAAGCTCTTTTACATGGGTGCCAGGGATTCAAACCCAGGTCCTCATACTTGCAAAGTAAGTGCTTTTATTCACTGAGCCATTGCTTTGGCCCTTCAAGTACTTTTCAGGATGGGAAATACCTCTCTCCTCTACACACACACACACACACACACACACACGCACACACACACACACACACACACACACACACACCTTACCCCCCTTACAGTTTTGCCAACATAAGCCTTCAATCTTGTCTCAGCAGGAAACCTTGGGAAAAATGTGTGTGTGTGTGTGTGTGTCTGTGTGTGTGCTGCAGTGTGAAAGAGGAGAGAGAGAGAGAGAGAGAGAGAGAGAGGAGTCAACTCTGGTTGGAGATAGGTGAAGGATGGGGACAAATGAAAGGCAGTGATTGGGGCAGAGTGGGGACAGAGGGAGAAGGTGAGAGAGGGCAGTTATAGCATAGCAGAACAGTTGGGAGACCACCTCAGCTTAAGCTTGATCATAAGACATGAAATGGTTGGTGATCCCACATTGTCTTGACCACAAAGTGGCCTGCAGGAGACATCTTTCTTTTTTTTTTTTTTTTTTTTTTTTTTTTTGGTCTTTCTGTTTATTCTAGGCTAGCCTCAAGCTCACTTTGCAGCCCATGCTGGCCTGGACTGACATCACTTTCCTGCTTCAGCCTCCCAAGTCCTGGGACTGTAAGTGTGAGCCACCATAGGGGGTCTCCCTGTAGCCTCAGCTGGCCTGGAACTCTCTATGTAGACCAGGCTGGCCTTGGACTCACAGAGATCTTCCTGCCTCGGACTCCTGAGTGCCCAAGTGCTGGGATTAAAGAGACGCACCACCATGCCCGGCCTTAGGAGATATCTTTCTTTAAGGGCACAAAAATATCAGAAGCTCTGCTTATGTTTCTTTATACTTTCCTTTTTAAGTTGGCATGTTTTCTAATAGACACAACACAAGCAGTATGGAAGCTCACTTCATGTGAATATATACATCTGCATTGGGTTACGAACTCCCACAGGAGGCTGCTGAGAGGCATTTCTGAGAAGAGCGGTTTCCTGCCCTCAGACACATGTGTTCCCTCTGACACTTTGGATATTTTCAGACTTCCCAGATATTCCAGAAATGCTCCTAACTCCCTCTCAGTCCCTCAGCCTGACTGGGGTAAACCCACGTTATGTGGGGGCTGGAGAGGTGGCTCGGCAGTTAAGAGCACTGGCTGAAGAGGAAGGACCTGGGTTCAGTTTCCAGCACACACATGGCAGCTAACAGTTCCAGGCCATCCAATGCCCTCTTCTGGTCTCAGTAGGCACCAGACACACACATGGTATATTTACATACATGTAGGCAAAATCTTCATATGCATAAATTAAAAATAAATAAAATCTTAAAAAAGTATGTAGATGGAATCAACCCTGCTCTGAGAATGCCATCTGCTCTTTCCGGGCACGAAATATGGGGGCTCCTCCCGTACCTTAAGCAGACTGTCACAAAAAAGTGCAACCAAACAAGAAACAAAGAGTAACAGAATATAATAAAACTATGCAACATACAGAAGCCAGCTGGAGAAATCAGCTAGCTGTAAGGAAAAGGGAAGTCATCTCAGGCGTAGCTCAACAAGGGGCAAGGGGGACCAGACACGAGCAAAAAGAGCAATGTCTCCTTTTTAAGAAGCAAGTATAGAGTTTCTGGTATGCCTTTTAGGAAAATACGGTTTCAAGGGACCCAGTCTTGCATGGCACTATGGGAATTTTTTGAAACATTTTTCCTTTTGTGCACATTTGAATTCAGTGGTTAGGGATGGGAACAGCTGCTATTAACAAAGGAATGCACTGTGTTGGCTAAATGTATGAACTGGTGACTTGAAGTGCCATCTTACCTTTATGGGAAACGCTTTGCACGTACTTGTTGACTTCAGCAGGAGTAAACGAGTCTAAGATCATCAAGAAATCCAGGCAGGCTTTTCCATAGTCACTCTTGTACGTGGTCTGCTTCTTTGACCGTTCCTGATTCTGAATATAGCTGTGCAGCATAAAGGGCACTGCAGGGACACACAGGAACAGAGACAGAGGTTGTCACCAAGCCAGCAAGGCCTGTTCTTGCTTGAACACACCCCTCACAGCTCTGAGTCCTGATCGGAGCCTGCTCGGCATCCTTACCAATACTGGAAAGGAGCTGATGCCACCAATGACTAGAGGTAGCACCAAGCTGCTGGGGCTTCTGGACTGATGCTGCTGGAATTGGGAAGAATGGGAGACATGACCATCTTCAGAAAATCAGTTCTCCCCAAACTCTACTCTTCTGAAGGTCACTGAGTTAGCAAGACAATATTTACCACCAGTGTATAGACAACAGATTTGTAAAAGCTCCTTTTTCTCTCAGGATATTGATTATGCATTCTCAGATTCCCACACTTAGAGACATCTTTCCAGTGACCTAGGGAGTCTCAGGATGAGCAGTTAGAAGGATGACAGTGTCCATTTAGACTAGTGGAAGTTGGAGGGCAACCTCAAACTATGTATATTGTTCAGTTAATGCAGATTCTAAGATTCGTGAAACCAAAAATTAAAAAAATAAAGATATGATGTAAAAACAAAAACAAAAAACCCCAGAGTTTCTACAAGTTTCCCAACCTGTGTAAAACTTAGGAACACCTTAAATACTGCCTCCAGTTCCAGGTGTGCCCTTTAAAGAGACAAGCAGAAAATACAGAATGGTGAAGAGACTTGCTCCTCAGTCATGAGGTGTGTAGAGTCTGGAAGGGCATTCACTGAAAAAGCACACTCAGAAGTTGTGAGGTAAGGTTTTCACACAACAGAAAATTCCTATTCCTTAATCTTCTTGGGAAGAAGTGAAATCAATGGCTAAAAGTTTAGCAAGAAGTCTTCTAACTGTGAGAACGCTCCAGTAGTTGGAATATCTGACAGCGAAAGCTCTACTTTGGGTTTGCAGCTTTAGTGCCTAAGCTGGGATGGTGTCGCCCCTCAGCAAGGATGGGGTAGACACAATACACATGACCGGAGGCTCTAGATGAGATAACTTCTAGATTGCCTTCTAACCCTAAGGTGCAGGCACACCTCAGTGGTAAGATCAAAAGGTGGAACCTGAGGAAGGAGAACAGGTGCCTACAGAACTCAATTCGAAGGCGGAGATCAAAATTACAGGGTGGGCCAAAGTAATGAAGAGGTAGGAAACTCAATCACAAAGCATCTACATGTTACCATCTTTAGACTGGATGCCAGGGCAGACTATCCCAAGAGTCCCAGGTACAATCAGCCTCTTTACTTCCCTCAGCCCCCAGCATTTTGGTTTCTTTGCTAAAGGCCAATGTCAGAAACAGTCTGGTTTCTTCCCTGTCAGTTGTTAAATAAAACTCTTTTTACAAAAGTCTGTACCATGGTGCTGGCTTTTGTGTGTCAGGCCAAAAGTCCTTGCTGGGGTGCTTTACAGTTGTCCTAAAGTCTAAAGGGGCACTTACCTAGACCCTGGGAAGCAACAGGCAGGCTTGCATAGCATCCGTATTTGAAACTAAAGTCCTGCAATTCCGGAATTTTAGCTGGAATTTGATAATGCTGTCGAAATTCAGTGTCCAGAGATCGGGGAAGCAACTCTTTCCAGTTCAGAGACATAGAACTTTTCTTCTTCTTCTTCACTGGGTGAAAAGGGAGGGTGGGAATTATTCCGTGTAAACACTTTCTGAGCGGCTTTTCATTCCAGTTTGCTTTTGACAGTAGCTTCCAACTCATGACATTGAAACCTACTTCTCTTGTGTTTAGGGGTACAGTCAATGTACTCTTTATGAATGCTTCAGACAAGAAACAATTTCCTACTTTCTCAGGCACAGAAAGTATATTCAACTGATTAAAAGTAGTTTTAAATGGGGGCTGGAGAGATGACTCAGCAGTTAGGAGCGCTGGCTGCTCTTTCAGAGGACCTAGGTTCAATTCCCAGAACTCACACGGCAACTAACAACCATCCATAACTCCAGTTCCAATGGATTTGACACCCTCTTCTGACCTCTGCAGACATTGCATGAGATGGGTGCACTTTACATACATGCAAGCAAAACATTCATACACACGGAATAAAAATAATAAAAAATTTTTAAAAGTAGCTTTAAATGAATAGATGTGTGTTCATTAGGAGTATCCTTAGGAGTGCTGGTGGATACAGAAGGCAGTGATGACTCTGTTAGGGCCTACCTAGGCCTTCAGGAGGTAGAACAGAGTGAGAAATCTTGGATATGGCCAGGATTGCCCTATAAAACACAGGATTCTCAGTTAAATTTGAATTTCAGGTACAGATGAATAGTGTAAGTTATGTACTATATATCATTATTCAAATTTAACTGGGCAGCTTAGCATTTTTATTTGCTTAACCCAGCAGCCCTAGATGGAGTTACATATATCATTCCATTACCTGGGGCAGAATTATAAAAGCTTGTCTCTTGCTAATAGAAGGTTAGAGGGCATCATTGTCATTAGTGGGCAATAACATTATTATTTCTTCAAAGTATTTCCACTAAATTAAGTCATAGTGTGGGCTCCGTTTTTATCAGTGAAGATATTTGTCATTTCTAATTTCATGCTACTGAGCACCTCAGGTCTTCTAAGAAGGGAGGTTGCTGATACAAAGCAACCGAACCAATACATGAAACTCTCAACCCCAGTTAAGTGTGGCAGATAAGATAGCCATGACCCAGAGCTAAACTGACCTATAACCTGGAACCTTCCCAAGGTCAGCTTCCTGGGTTTTTCCATTGTAACTGTGATACTATACCAGTAAGTCATGCCCTGCCCCCGTAAGACCCTGGCTCCCATTAAGATTAAGGAAGGCTCTACAGAAAATCTCAATCCCAAAGTACATGTGCAAAGACCATTCAAAAGCATTAGAACCACCAACACACACTATAGCAAGAGGACTCTTCTATCAAAATCAAGTTCTGCAAATCTGGATGTGAGAACAACCACTTTTTAGTGTTTATTTTTCATTTGCTTTGACTCAACAATGAGAACTCAAAACTAAGACAAGGGCTCTATACATCAGAAACTTTCAGCATTAAAGAAATGAACACATAAGGCAATAACATTATGTGATAGGTCCTGCAAAAGATGTTATAGTGGGGCTACAGACACATGTTGAGAAACAGAGTAGCTTCCAGGATAGAAACGAAGCCAGTGCCTAGACTTAGATGGCAAGTAAAAAGGAAGTGAAGCATTGCACAGAAAGAAGGCAATACATGCTGACAGCAGGAGGCTCCGGGAACCAGATGAGTCTGCAGGATGGGCAGCTATGCAATTGCTCCGTGAGCATGGGAGCCACTGAGGAGAAGGATGGCATGAGGGCAAGGACCAGCTGACACAAATCATACAGACTGAGGTATTTAGCTTTCATCCTAAGGGCAACAGGAGTCCCTGAAGGGTTTTAAGCTGGAGGTGACATTGACTTGCACAATAAACTCACTTTGATGGCAGGACAGATGCATTTTAAAAGGAAGGTGGATAAGATGTCATCCAAGGAGAGACAGCGGCATCCTGAACCAAGACAGGGCTGTGAGGAACGAATCAATCAGATGGTGTTAAGAGAGTTAAGAAGGAGTCTTGACAGGTCCTACTTAGGTATTTACAAGCATGTAGGAAAATGATGATTTGCTCATGCTGAACTACTTTAAAACAAAGATTTCATAAAGAATGCCGAGATTAGAATGTTTTTCTATGACCCTTAATATTTATCTGCAGATATAAAGGTGCTTTGATCTCATACCCATTTCATTTCAGAAATTGTGTTTTCATATATTCTGTCTGTCATTCAGCAAATATTTCTTGAACTCCTTCTATCTACCTTTTATTAATCAGGAGTAAACAAAGGCCTCTGGGAGGGCTTACTAAATAGGAGAGGAAAGAGTAAAACAAAAACAACAAAAGATAAAATAATTCATAGCAAGAAGGGCTGGAGAGGTAGCTCAGCAGTTAAGAGTGTATACTGCTCTTACAGAGGACCCAAGTTCAGTTTCCAGCATCCACATCAGGAATGTCACAATTTCCTGCAACTCCAGTTCCAGGGAATTCAACACTTCTAGCCTGCATTGGACTTGTGTCATGTAAGCCCTGTGGAAGTCAGAAGAGGGAGTCAGATCCCTTGGAACTGGAGTTACGGATGGTTGTTAGTCACCATTTGGGTGCTGAACTTGGGTCCTCTGCAAGAGCAGTCAGTGCTCTTAACCACTGCGTCATCTCTCCAGCCCCATAAGAGTAAATCGTAAATGGGGCTGGAGAGATGGCTTAGCAGTTAAGAACACTGACTGCTCTTGCAGAGGACCTGGGTTCAATTCCCAGCACCCACGTGGCAGCTATGAACCATCCTTAACTCCAGTTCTAGGGGAATCCGAAGCCCTCTTTGACCTCCGCAGCACTGCATGACACAGGTGCATTCACATACATGCAGGCAATACACTTGTACACATAAAAAAAAATAATAATAAAATATTTTAAAAAAAGAGTCAATAGTAAGAGACTTCAAAGAGTAAAATGCTAGATGAAATGGGAGGGAAACACATAAAATAGAAAAAGTCTCACAGGAGGTGACACTGAAGCTGGGGTTTGCAGACTGTCAAAGCAAAGCCATGGGGTTTGCAGACTGTCAAAGCAAAGCCATGGAAAGAACGGGGGAAGAACATGTCAGGCACAGAGGACAGTGTGAAGATGAGGAAGAAGTTGGCAACTATATTAGTTACTTTTCTATTGTTGTGATAAAACATCATGACCAGGGCAACTTAAAAGAAGGAAGAGTTTATTTGGGCTTATGGGTCCAGATAAGTAGTCCATCGTGGCAGGGAGGCGTAGCAGCAGGCAGCCAGAGTAGGAAGCTAAGAGCTCACATCTTCCAGCACACACAGGAAGGAGAGAGAGTAAACTGGAAGTGGGGCAAAGCTATGAGTACTCAAAGTCCGTCCCCAGTGACCTACTTCCTCTAGCAAGGACACACCTCCTAACCCTCTGCAAACAGCATTACCAGTTGGAAACAGGTGTTCAAATATGTGAGCCTACTGGGGGCATTTCTAGTTCAAACCGTCACAGCAACTTACAGGAACTAAAATCAAGCCTATGTAGCTAGAGCTGGGTGCGTGAGGAGAATGGAAAAAGCGTATGAGTAAAGAGGTCAGCAAGGGTCAGCTTAACAGGACCTTAACCACCCACTGAAGGAATGGGATTTCATTCAAAATACAACAGAAAGCCAGTGAAAGGAAGCAATAGAACAATATGACATAATCGAGGTATTTGAAAGATCATCTAGTTGCCACGCAACGAAGGAATCGGGTGAGCTACAGCTAGCACACAAAAATCGGTTGATAGAGGAAGAACAAGAGGAGTTGAAACCCTCAAGAGATTTCTACTGGGTACCCAAACATGAAACTGTGGGTCTCAAGAGTGTCTTGGAGAATGGCACAAATGAGGAAGTCTGGGACAGTTTCCATTTAAAGGAACCAGAATTCTAATAGAGATTTAAGTGGAAAAGAGAGCATAAAGGAGACACCAGGAAAACATGTCAATTCAAAAAAGCAAAACGACGAGTACTCCAAGAAGTAAGTAGCCAGCGAACCTGAGGGCTGCTGGGAAAGAAGCAGGTGGCATGATGTCTCTAAGTCACCAGGGACCTTGAAAGAACAATTTCAATGGCTTGATGGAGAACAAACCTAAATCCCAAAGGGTTGAAAATTCAAGGAACAGCAGTACTTCCCAGTGAGCACATGGATTGTCTCTAGTACTTCTGTGCATTTTGAAGTCCTCTGTCCTCAGGCTTTAACAAATTGAACATAGATTTGAAGTTTTAACACGTTATAGAAGATGAAAACCAAACCATATATAGCAACTGAACAAGAACAAGAGAGAAAGCTTAAACCTCAGTGACTGCAGAAGTAACAAAGAAGTAAACTAACCCATGCTCAAACCCTGAGCAGCAGATAAGACAGAAAGCAATTCGGCTAAGGCTGGAAGCAGAGGCCTGGCTGAAAGCTTGGCTGCAGTGATTCCCTGAAACACTTCACTCCATGCAGTCGTATATATGACTGTCGTTTCCTGCAGTGATTTGAATACCCACTCCAAACTCATGCCAAACTTAATACTCTCTATTCTGATGGTATTAAGAGGTGATTATAGGGCTGGGGAGATGGCTTATTAGGTAAGAGTACTTGCTGCACAAGCATGAGGACCTGAGTTCAAATTCTCAGCACCTACATAAAAAGACAGTTATGACCAGGTACCTGTAATCCCAGCAGTATAAGAGACAAAGACAGGAGAATTGCTTGTGAGAGACTCTATCTCAAGGGAGTAAGGTGTAGAAACAGAGCAGGATGCCCAGTGTCCTCCTCTGCACTTACTACTCCCTGTGCATGCATTAACATACACACCTGCACACATGTGCAGCACATATACTACACACATAAACCACAAGAATACTCACATACTCACACACACACAAAATTTAAAAGACATGATAATGGATCAATATTGTTATGTTGACAGTAGGATAGTTACTGTAGGAGTAGACTCCGAATGAAAGGATGCATTGGGCATTAAGGCCTTCAGCAGATGCAGTCCCTCTGTCTTGGACCCACTAGCCTCCAGCAGCGTGAGTCAGATAAATTACTGTTCATAAATTACCCAGTATGCAACTCAGTTTTGATAACTGTGGCAACATTCCTGACAATAACAATTTGCAGTAGAAAGGATTTATTTTGGCTCATGGTTTCAGGGATCCTAGTTTATGGCTAGCTGGATCCATTGTTTCTGGGTTATGGTAAGGCAGATTATCATGGTAGAAAGGGCCTGGTAGAGGATAGCTGCTCACCTACAGCAACCAGGAGAGAGAGAGAGAGAGAGAGAGAGAGAGAGAGAGAGAGAGAGAGAGAGAGAGCTTGGTGTAACCATATTTTAAAAACCCCACAGAAGAGAGAGAGAGAGAGAGAGAGAGAGAGAGAGAGAATGAACCAGGAACAAGATATACCCTTCAAAGCCCATTCCCATTGATCCTACTTCCTCTAGCTAGGCCCTTACACCAGCTGGGGACCAAACCTTCAACATATGAACTGTGGAGATTATCATATTCAACCACAATGTCTAGAAGCAGAAAATAAGCTAAGATATTTCTTTACTAAAAGGTTATTCTCAGCAAAATTAACTCAAAGAAGCTCTGTACTTAGGGATGCCCAACACAGAAGGTAAGGGAGCAAGATGCTGGACTAGGCAAAGAGGGGCCACTGAAAGGTTGCACACCAACTAGGAAGACCACAACCCTTCTCCTCCCCAAGCCCATACTTAGAATCCCAGCAGTCATGTGCTTAGCTTTCTGGACCTAAAAATATTGGCATTCAGGAATTTCTCCAAAGCATGATCACTCAATCTGCTCATCAAAGTCAGCTGCCAGCTGATAGGGGCCATCTCTGTCAGTTCTGGTACTAAACCTCCTTTGTAGATTTTTTAGGGGACTATCAAGCTTAATATTTATGGGGTATCCTCTTCAAGAAAGAGTGCACAGAACTAAGACTTAAGTGTTATTAGTTTAATAGTAAATCTACTTCTGCTTCTTTGTAAATCAGGACATATAGTCAAATTTTCAATAGATGATCAAAACACTCAGAGACAATGTAACAAACAGATAAGAGCATTGAAAATTAATACATATCCTAAATTTATGACAATTATTACATCCATAAAACATAAATAAAATGTAAGAGCTAGAACAAAAATTCCAGTGGAAGAAATTCATTAAGCAGTAAAAAAACTCAACAAATAAACAGAACAAAGATACATGGAGAAACACACTACACACAGAAGGTAAGAAAATTAGTGGCTCAATCCAACTAGCACAAAACTTAGAACAAACTAAAAAGGAGAAAATTAAGTTGCTAATATAGAACAAAAAGGCATCAGCAGTAAAAAGACACAGGTCTCTGAACTGAAAGGACCCCAAGTTTCCAGAAGCTTCACTAATGCATGGTTTCATGGGATTTCAGAATGTCCAGAACAGAGGAGATATTAACACTTTCTGGAGGAAATAATACAGAAGGATCAAGAATTTAAAAGGCATCAGTCTTCTATAACCTGGATGCTAGAACACATTTGCAAGGTATCCTGAGTGAAAGTAATTATCAACCTAGATTTCTATATCTAGCCAAACTATCAAACAAATATTAATCAAGTTAAAAAGACATTTCCAGGCTAGGCATGGTGGGTATGCCCTTAATCCCAGCACCAAGGAGGCAGAGGCAGGTGGATCTCTGTGAGTTATAGGCCAGCTGGTCTTCAAAGTGAATTCTGGACCAGCTAGGGTTACATAGTGAGCCCCTGCCTCACAAAAAAGACATTCCCAGATTATTAAGAAATATACACCAAAGCTACTTTCCTGTGTACCCTTTCTTAGGGAGCTACTGGAAGATGTGAGTCAGCATGTGCGCCAACAAAATGAAGCAAAGAGGGTAAGAGATAGGGGAATGAGGACTCAGGAAGCAAGGACTCCAACACAAGGAAAGGATGAAATTCTTAGAATGAGGAAGAAGAAAGTTCTAGGGCCCTGTGGGCATATCTACAATGCAGATAAAAGAGAAAATTGTGGTGCTTTCTCTACCTACCCTATGAAAAACTAAGTTAAATGTCTTCCAGCTACAAACCTGAGGGCAGTGCCCAGTGAATCCAGATTCTTCAGGATAGCAGAGCTCCCATCCCAAAAGAACATGTTGTTCTCCTACAAGGGAGGATGAAGAACAAGCCAGGCTTTTCCTCCCTACAGTCATGGAACCTTGTTTAGCACTCCCAGAAAAGGTACAGCCATCCCATTCCAAGTCACATGTCTGGCGTCTTTAGCTCCCTTTCCCTGTTGTCTGTCAGCCACCATCTCTACCATTTCTTTCTTTTTCCATCAGTATTTCTCATCACAGACTAGTATGAGCTAGGCAAGGGGAGGGTACTGGTGATACAATGTGAGCCACAGAGCCATGAGTTTTAACCTGTACATGGTTTATCCCTACTGAGTGTCCACACCATCCTGTGGCCCAGGCTACCTTTACCCACACTGCACAGCCCAACTTCAAGCCACCACGCTTTCCCTAAGACTGCTGTAGCAGCTATTGCTGGTCTCCTCGCTCCAGGCTGGGCCATCTCCTCCTCACTTACAGCTAGCATGATATTTCTAGGCCCACATCTGAATGACGCTACTACCTGACCTGAATAACAACCCCTGGGTGCTCCTGGGATAAACTCCAGAACTTCTTAATATGCTGACACCTCTCTACCCATGCTGGTCTCTTCCCTCACCTTGCTTGGAGTTTGCTCTGCTTGAGCTGAAGTTCCTTCAGTTCCTCTGGGTCTACACAAGGCTGTAACAACACTTTCCCTGTGTCTTTGTTTCATTAATTCTTCTTCATCCATCAGCCTGGGAAGGGAGTCCTGTTTCCCCTTTTCCCTTCCCTTCTCCCTCTCCTCTCTCCTGTTTTCCCTTTTCTTTTCCTTCCTCCTTCCTTTTCCATTTACTTTGTGTTCTGAGAAGGATCTTGCTCTATATCTCAGGTTAACCTTGAACTCTGGATCTTCTTGTGTTAGCCTCCGAAGAGCCTTGATTACAGGTATAAGCCACTCTGCCTGGCTAAGGGAAGCCTTTTCTGGCCTTCACCCTATTGCCTCCCGGGCCCTCTCCAGTGGAGTGGATGTTCTGTTCTGTGCCCACAGCAACATTTGTTTATTCGTTAGTTTGTTCTACAGTGCAAAAAAATCAAACCCAGGACCGTGAATTTGCTATGTCCCCGGCCACCTGCATTTCTTACAATGTACATCCTTCTATAATTGATTTTGTTCATAAAATTTCTTGTTCCATGACTAGCTTACGATATCCTATAAGGAAAAGACCAAATCCACTCTGCTGATGATCACCACAGCAGTATCCAGGCACACGCACAAGGAAAAGGAGAAAAGCATGCTTACCTTGAGAAAGATCCACAAAGTCTCTTTTGGTATGGGAAACAAACTGATTTGCTATTGCCTCTTTGAGTTTTTCCATGGGAGGAGGGACTAACCGAGGGAGGCAGCTTGTTGGTTGTTCTTTATGGAGCGTCCATTGAAAGGAACCCTATCAATACAAGCATGATTTCTATAAGAATCCATACAGGCTCCCTCATATGTAGATCCTAGAGCCAAATGCTAATAAGTGAGTATGTATCCAGACATAACTACAGGAACCAGGATAATGAAAAGGAACCAGGGAAGTAAAGGAAAACAAAACATGAGTGAGAAGAACAGTAGGAAACAGGTGTTAATAAGGGAGATATGGATAAAAATCAGGTTATTTATATGGGGGGAGGGAGGGTTATAAAAATAACCTTATAGATAAAGGGAAAGAAGGAGCTCAAGAGAGGGGGACCATAGGAGAAGGGTATTATTAAGGGAGAAATGGGAAAATGGGGCCCTTTAAATGGGGAAACCATGGTAGAATGGTTAGACAGTGAGAGAGATAAATAATGCCTAGCTAGTTTTTAAAAACCAGAGGAAACCATATTAGTCCAACAACCTACTGACAAGTTATACATACAACTATCTCAAGGAACAAAATATATGTCTAATCAAGGTTTATCTGAAAACATTTGGTCTTTGCCCAAGCTTTATCTATATAGCACATGGTAATTAAAAGTACCAGGCTGGTGGAACTAACCTTCTTGGACATTTAACAGCCATACTTTGAGGTCTATACTAATTTTGTCAGAGGGACATAAAGGACAGTTTTTTCTCCTTGCCCTCCTAGGTTGACTAAGTTCCAGGGGACTATGAGTATCTCTCAAAATGTCCTGTAACTGCAGTGAGTCACCTGTCCTCTTGTTCAGGGAGGCCATGGAGAATCCACCAGATGGACTTGAGCCAGTGTCCAGTCTACAAAGAGGAGGGTCAACACAGAGGAAACATTTCCTCCATGCTTCCAAGTGAAGCCAGCCATGGCCAAGCAGGACCGTTGGCTTATCTTCATATAGATGCAACTGGTAAAAGAAAGGAGCCAGGGGCTCCTCCTAAGCCCATGTGACCCCTGAGGAACAGATCCTCACACAACCTTAGGAGTAAAAATAAATTGGTTTATTTGGACCAACTATCTGGTCTTAAACACCCAAAAGGAAAGTATAACCAAAGATTGAAGTGATCAGTATATTTCTTTAAGGGTCCATGTATATAGCTAAAGGCTACATAACAAGAAATAATGCCAGACAGGAGATTCCTTCCTTTGAGGGTGGCCCAAGAGACTCCCAGACTACTAGTAACCCAGCACAGAACTGGGAAAATGAACAGCAGACTCCAATCTTATCTAAAGGAATGTTGGCAACTGATTGCTGCTAGATGAAGAAGAGCTGATCTTCCTAAAACAAGGAACTCTAGATAGGTTGACTACACTCAGTGGATGGAATTGCACTGAAGAACAGCTGGGGGCACTGACAACACAGTGGACAGTAACAGGGATGACAGTATATGGGCTCTGCGGGTGGGGGGAGGCTATGGGAGGGTGCCATTTGGGATGCGGTTATAAAGATGAATAAGATTGTCTGGGATATTCTGTATGAAGTACACAAAAATGAATCAATTAAAAAAAGGAATAAAAAGATTTTTAATTAAAAAAAAGAATCCATACAGGTTCTCTTTATGTAATCAAGAAGGCATTCTAGAGGCTGGAGAGATGGCTCAGCAGTTAAGAGCTCTGGCTGCTCTTGCAGAGGACCAGGGGATGTGATGCCCTCTTTTGGCCTCCGTGGGCATGGCATGACACAGGTGCACTTTCTTGAGGAACGCTCAGACACACAAAATAAAAATTTAAAAAAATTTTCCAAATTAAAAGACGGTGTCCAGGTATTTTCATGTTCATATTCTTTGAAATCCTTTTATATCCATCTGTAACGTAGCTGCCTACATGTGAGAAGCTTGTCGACCACAGGCATCAGTTACCTAGCTGTATTATTAGTTACCTACTTGTATTAGCTACTTTTCTTGCTGTGACTCAATATTAGACAAAAGTAATTTAAGGAAGGATGTTCATGGTTTGAGGGATATAATTCATCAAGGTAGGGGAGGCAAGGGGCGGGAGAGTGAAGCGGCTGGTCACATTGCATCCTCAGTTGGGAAGCAGAGGCAGATGAATGCTAATGCTCAGCAGGGCTTTCTTTCTCCCCTTTTTGTTCTGTGCAGGACCATTGCCATGGGATGGTACTACTCATATTCAGTCTTTGTCCCTCCTCAGTTATACCTGTCTGGAAACTCCCTTGAAGTCACACACAGATGTGATTCTCAATCCAGTCAAGTTGACCATGAAGACTGACCATCACTGATAACTTTGTGCCTTTCTTTGACTTTTCACATTGATATTAACAAAAGACAATAAAGTCCAAAGTCTGAGATCAGATTTCTTGTATAGACAAAACCCATTCTAAAGCTGATTCTGGCTGCATATTTGTAAGGAGTAAAGATGATGTCTGTTTGTCCCTTTGAGAGTCTTAGAGAAAAGTCTTCTTTCCTCATAAACAGTCTCAGCACCATTGTGAAGGATGGGGGAGGTAGGTACTGTCTTCTCTTTACTTCTGAAGAAAGGCTATGATTTTAAAACATGAAATTGCCACCCTATCGTTCCATCTTCCTTTCTCATGACCATGTGTGACAGTTTATCTTTATTGTCAACTTGACTGGACTTAGTATCACAAAAGAGATTGGTGAGACTTCCAAGGCATTTCCAGAGAGGAGGGAAGACCCAACTTGAATGTGGGGAGGATTATCGCATGGGCTGGAGGCCCTGACAGAATAAAAAGGGAAAAAGAGAAAGCCATCCCAGCACCCAAATTTCCTCTCTGCTTTCTGTTCATCATGGTATAATCAGTTTTCTCCACCACTGCTGCCATGATGTTCTGCCCAAATGCAGCCAAGCCACCATAGCTTGAACTCTCTGAAACGGTGAGCCAAATAAACTACCCTTCTTTTTTTAAATTGTTTCTGCCAGACAGTTCATCCCAGTGACACAAAAGTAACTGTGATTCCCACCTCCTTAAGAAAACAGTGCTATCAGCAAAGAAACTCCACTGCCCACCATACCATCCCCACCCAGCACCACACCTACACCCTCATATCTGCTGTGGTTAGGGACAGCTCTGTCAGAGAAGTTTCAGAGACTCCCAACAGGGCTCACTACCATGTGGGCCACTAGATCCTGTCTCGTTAGTCTGCTCCAGAACACCCCACCAACAATTCTCATTTATCTATTAAGACTTCAGTTTCTCCATCTCTGTTGGTTGACTGCCATCAACAAAAATCCCTGATTGCTTTTCCTATCTCACAAAACCCCATCTCCATCTTCCCTCTAGCTACTAAGATGCTTTTCAGTTTCCTCTTACAAAAAGTTCCTCAAAATAGTTATATATACCTGTGGTTCCAAATTTTTCTTTTAATCTTCAGCTCCTTCTCAATTCCCTTCTTTCCCTTATGATTTATCTATGGAAGGAAGCCATTATGAACATAATGGATGTAATGAAGATGCCACTGAGCATACAGGGGCTCAGTCTGTATTTTGTGGGTTGCATACTCACTGTGGTCTTTAACAAGTGTCTGTCTCCTGGACATAGGCTCAAGGTAGAGCCCTTAGACTAGACTATCAGTGGTTTTTGGCAAGACAGTATGAGGCTGATAATATATGTTGCTTCTCTGTCTGATGAGACTCAATGGTTGACAGTGTCTGCAGTTTGCAGCTAACACCTCATTGGTTGGGAGCACAAAGGACAGTCTGCCACACCAGCTCTCATTGGCTGAGCGCACTCAGGAGTCCTGCATGACAGTGCTCATTAAGAGTCTTTACTAGATCTTTCAAAGTATCCAGACACTGAAGAGCAAAAAGGCAGCAGGTAACCCCGGAAGTCCAGGACATCACGAGAGTCGTAGTCCCTGCAGTCCCGTTAGAAAAGCATCCCCTTGAACAGCCACCGGCTGTAGGAGCTGTACTCTGATCCCAAAGAGGCCAGGCCAGTCACTGTTTAGTTCCCTAATAACAAACTTAGAGCAGCAGGACCAGCCCCATGTGCTATGAAGAAAAAGTTCTAATAGCTTTGGCCAAATAAGCCATAGTTCACTTCAGTTAAGGGTATTCAGGCCCATTCCGATAGAGGTTTTCTATGACAGCATTGAATGAGTTATGTGTTTTGGTTTGTTTTTGTTTTTTTGTTTTTTTTTTAAGATAGGGGATATGATTCTATAGCACAATTTAAACTTCCTTTTTGAAATAAGTTTGTCAGAAAAGGTTTGGATTCTGTATCACATACTCTGGTCTTGCCTTGCACTTTAAGGGAAACAGCTGATTGAGGAGTTTTGTTTTTTGTGGTGTTGAGGACCTTGTGTGAGGGCTCTACACTGAGTCCATCCCTGGCCTTGATTTAGTTTCTAAACCTGGCTTTTAGTTTAGTTTCTGAACCGGCTTTTATGGGAAATATTTCAGAGGGAACATATGTCAGTATTGAAAATATGAATAAAAATAATTTCAAAAAGTTTCAAGGCAAAAAAAGAGTCTTTAATAGCACTTTAGATGAAGGAAAAAGTATGCCTGTGTATGTATACATGTGCAGTAAATATTATGACCAATTCTTTTCCATTACTTTAAAGTCTCTAAAGAAGACGTTTAAAAGGCAAATAATTATAATGACTGGATACCAGAAAAGTCAAATTAAATAGGGTATGGGTGTAAATTCAAATGACTGCCAAGTCTACATCTCCACTACCTTCAGCCATGTCTGCCCATCTCTCTGTGTGCTTTTCACCAGCACACATGCTCCTTCAACATATTCCACCTTAGTCCACAGTATCAGCACAACACAAATGAACACAAATGTGAACATTGTTCTTCCTTCTTCCCTAGTCATCAGATCGTGTCTACTCTACTTTACTGAATGCCTTCGGGTGGCTCCAACCCAGGTGGCAGACAGGTGAATGAAACCCTTTATTACAGCTGGGCACAGCCTCTTGTGATGAGAGGATAGGAAGGCCAAGAAAACACTGTGAGAGGGAGTATCAGTTACTTCCATCCAGTAGGGAAGGAATTAGAGATAGCTCTTTTTGCTGAGCCTTAAAGAAATACGAGACATTCCTTTGGAAGTCGAAGAGGGAATTCTAGAAAGAGGCAACAGTGATAAAGGACAGGGAGGTTTGAGGTGCCCAAAACATAACACTAAGCACAAGTGCTTGTGCATGCCTATCATAGCAGCATTATTCACAATAGCCAAAAGCTAAAACCAACCCAAAGGTACATTAATGGATATGGATAACCAAAGTGTGGTATACATATACAATATTATCCAATTGTGAAAAGTACAGATACTTGCTATAATATAGAGAACCTCAGAAAATTATGCTAAGTAAAAGAAATTAGACACAAAATGACATTGCACGATTCCACATATAAAATATCCAGAATAAGTAATCAATAAACATAGAAAGCAGATTGGTGGATGGCAGGGCAAGGGGACAGACTGGTGAGGACTAGCTGATTAATGGATATGGGGTTTCCTTCTGGGATGAAGAAGTTCTTTTACAAAGAGATGGAGGTAGTGGCTGTGCAACACTGAAGGCTGGTGAATCACTCACACTATAATAGCTAATTTTATATTATGTAAAGTTCACTTCACTTGTTAAAAATGTAAAATTATTGGGGCTAGAAATGGGAAAAATGTGAGGTGGGCAAGAAGCAGTCCAAGAAGCATGGATCTCACCCACTGCAGGTAGATGAGGGTTCTTCACAAGGGTTTTATAGGCTTAAAACGGTGTACATCAAACAAAGGAGCAGCTATTATCTTACTTGATCAAGTTGAAATTTGTTGGTCCTTATTCCTCTTGCAGTCCCAGTTCTGATCAACTTTTCTTTAGAATATGCTTTCCAAGAATATTCATCATTGTAATGTGTCTGACTTAGAATGGGATCACTCAGTGAATATGTATATCCCAATCTTTTGATGCTTTTGGGACTACAAAAAAAAAAAAACCAAAAAAACAGTAGAGATTGGAGGAAGAGGCTATCTTAGTTTCTTTTTGTGATACTGTGGTGAAATACTCTAACAACCCCAGGGAGGAAGGGTCTGTTCTTTCTGCCTCACAGTTTAAGGGTTCAGTCCATTATGACAGAGAAATCAAAGTGACAGGAGCCTGAAATAGCCCACCATGTTGCACTCACCATTGGATAACAGAGAGGGACGAAGAAATGCTGCTGCTCAGTCCCCTTCTCCACATATGTAGTCCAGGATCTCAGCCAGGGAATGGTGTCACCCACAGTGGGCAGATCTTCCCACCTCAGTGCAGTCATGATAATCCCTCACAGGCATGCCCAGAGGACCACAATGCCACAGTGGTACTCAGCTCAAATGATTTTACATGTTATACAATTTTTTAAAAATGATTTTCTGGTTTAAGACTTAATGCCAGATATAATTTATTTTTCAGACTCCCTTACTAAAAACAATGCTGTAAGTTATATGACACTTAACAAATATACAAGTGGCCTAAAATGAAATTAAGAATAATAGTCAAAGATGTATATTGTTAATTTTTAAAGCATTAGATTTTCTTATATACAAAGATTATGTCACTGTATCCAAATAATTGGTGAAAGAAAGTATCTCTGTACAGAAGTGCTCCAGTTGGTAAATGAAACATATGAATTAGGGCATTCTTTTTCGGTGTGCAAGTCCCCAGTGAGATGCACGTCACCACCACTATAACTTACAACTCAAAAAGAAGTTGCCAAATATCACCAAGAGGTACCGCCATCAGATATCATCACCAGGAATTACTACCAAATATGACCACCAGATATCACCACCTGGTATCACCACCACATATCACCAGATATTATCACCAATTATTTCCATCAGATATCACCAATCGAGATCATCACCAGATATAACCACCAAGTATTACCACTGTATTAGTCCCTTTTCTGTTGCTGTGATAGAAACACTGACTAATACAATTTATAGAAGGAAGAGTTTATTTGAGCTTATGGTTCCAGGAGAATTACAGTCCATCATGGCAGGGAGGCATGGTGGCTGGGGGGGGGTGGGGGAGGGACAGGCGAAAATAAGGTCTCATTTAAGCTCTCATATCACCATGCAGGAACAGGAAGCAAGAGAGCAACTGGAGATCCTGCAAGGCTTAAGAACTCTCTAAGCCCACTCCCAGTGATGTGCTTCCTCCAGGATAGCCACACCTTTTAAAGCCTCCCCCAAACAGTGCCACCATGTGGGGACAAAATGTCCAAATACTTGGAGCCTATAGGGGACATTTTCATTCAAACCATCACAACCACCAAATATTATCACCAAGGAGTTCCACCAGATAACATCATTGTATATCATCACCAGACACCATCATTAGGTATCATCATCAAAAACAATCACCAGGCATTACTGCCAGATATCACCATCATATGTTGCCACCACCAAATATCATGACCAAGTATCATCACCAGATGACAAGATCCCAAGGTATTATTACCAGCTATTATGTGCTCCTGGATATATGTACCACCACCTATTAAATATTTTGCCAAAATATGAATTCAATAAAGTATTTAGAATTTTGAACTATAGTAAATGCATGTAAAGGAATATTTTTTAAAAAATTATGAGTATGAAACTGGAAATCAAGAGCAATAATCCTTCATCAAAGAAACTGTCAATAAAACAAAACCAGGGGCTAGAGAGATGGTCCAATGGTTAAGAGAATTGTCTGTTCTTGCAGAAAACCCATGTTTGAATCCCAGTACCCACATGGTAGCTCACAGCTGTCCATAATTCCAGTCCAAGAAATCTAATGTTTTCTTCTGTCCACAGGCACTGCATGCTACAATGCACTTATACACATGCGGGCATAACATCATACACATAAAAAATAAAACAAAAAGAGCAAGTCTGAAAATTAAAGAAGAGACATAATAACCAAACGCAATATATAGACTTTATCTGAATTCCATTCCAAGTGAATTTTTTATAATCAAAGACAATTGGGGGAAACTTGATTTCTGATTAGCTACTTGATGTTAAAGAATTTAAGTTTTCTGAAGTCATATAATGGTATTGCTGAATGTTTTCAAGCAACCTTATCTTGACAAATACAGAGGATTTAGATTGAGTGTTTGGTCTCTGTTTTGACATAATATGGCGGAAAGATGAAGCCAAAACATATCTATGTTTGTTGTTATAGACAAGGGATGGCTGGGATTTACTATGTATAGCTTTTATGTGTTTAAAACAGATGATCATGCCAGGCGTGGTGGCGCATGCCTTTAATCCCAGCACTCGGGAGGCAGAGGCAGGGGGGGCTCTGTGGGGTTTAGGCCCGCCCGATCTATATAGTGAGTTCCACGGCAGCCGGGGCTGGAGGGCGACCCTCTCTCACAAACAACCCAAAAAAAAAAAAAAAAAAAAACAAAACCAAAAAACCAAACAAAACAAAAAACCAAACAAAACAGATCATAATAACTCTTTTCAAGGCTGTGTAAATTTAGGTTATGTTCAAAAGAAACAAACATTTGGGAAGTCTGGGTGACTGGCCATTTCACTGTTATTCAGGTTTTAACTGGAACTTTTCCTTCCAAAGAGGCCACAACACAAATACCTTTAAAGGATGTAATTTCCAGATCCTGATTTCTGAATATATGATTTCCTTAGTCGTATCTGCCTGAGAAGGGACCTGTTCTCCTTCCCCAGGTCTCCCTCCCCCATGTTATCACAGGACCCTTCTCTGGTGCGTTGCTTGAGATACAGGCCTCTGACCAAGATGGGGAAGGCGCTCCATGAGGGAACCCTGCTCAGACAGTTTTCAGGGAACTGTCTCTCACCACTCAAGCTCCACACCTGCCCAGGGCTTGTCTTCTGCGGCAGGTAACTCTGTATGGTGAAAGATGATGCTATGGTCTGGGTATCACAGCCTGTGTGGGACACTGTGACTTTCCATGTCACAGAGTAGCCTAGCTGAGTGACGTCTGGCTTTCTGTCTCCAACAATTACACAATGTTCATCTGTCTTTAGAGAGATGCTTCTAAGAAGACAGCAGAGACTGCAGAGTGCTTAAAATGGCTCTTTGCCTCACATATTTAAAGATACACCCCCCCACCCAGCTTTTTAAAAAGTCCCTGGGAAATGTCATTAGCTGGAAAGAAAGTATGTCTGTGCCAGGAAAGTTGTACAAGCTGCTGATGACGACTGCTTTAAATATAACTAGACTTTTCTGGGACACCATATTTTTCAAGATCACTGTATAAAACCAGTTGATAAGACTCTTGCAATATTTGATTTTTCAGATTTTGTATTCATTATTCCAGAAGTACTTAATCTTATTTTTAATCTAATCAAAGTTTGAAATGTGAACTATATAGTCAATCCTTTTATATTGTAAATCAATGAAATTTGTTTCTGATATGTGTATGTGTGTATATATATATTCACTTATGAATGAAAATGACTAACTTCTTTGTTCTAATCACTCTATTAGAGCCTTAGGTCCTCAGAACATATACACTCCCTCTGTCACTTGCCAGGCATCATCATACCCTTCTTAACAGGAAGACTGAGCCACAGGTGGTGTGTTACTCTCCTGGGGAAACAGATATAATAGAGTTAACCATAGATGTGCCAACAATCCTGGTGTCTCAGGAAGAACTCTAAGGAGCAAAGAGCAAAGATCCTCTTTATTGGAATTAGTTCACAGAGTAAACATAGGCCATAAAGCCCCTCTATGTTGCTCTCACACCTGTCAGTGATGCTCACTCACTCGCTGCTAATCTCAACAGTGGCTAGAAATCCCACAGCCTTCTGCTCAGGTGGCCTAGAAGAGAAACTGCAAGCTACCAATGCAACGAATGGAAGGGAGAGCAGAGATAAGGACAGGAGATGGGGCCTCTTCCAGCTTCCAGGACAGAATGGGTGATGGTGGTGATAAATATCTATGCAATCATCCATGATGGTGGTGATAAGTATCCATGCACTCATCCATCTACTTAGCAGTCACTGTATTGCATGCCTGCTTGTGTCTATAGAATGATGAAGCTGTTCATAAAGTCTGTTAACCTACATACTGGGTCTGTGGTGAACCAAGGGGTGCAATAACTTTAGGAAGAGCTATTCTGGTGATTTTCCTGCTTTTCCTATAGGATGTCTGACTGGTGTTTGAGAGATGGATTCTCAAGATACTTGGGAGGGCATCAGTGTGCATACTAGACTCTGTGCTACAGCATGTCCCCAGTTTCTATGTCTATTTGTTTTGGATTCTGAGTATTAGAAGACATGAAGATTACAGTGTGTCTCTTAATGTGGCTCAAGCAAGGACCTACCGTATTAAATCGGGCACAGCTCCTGTTTTACTTGTGAATGCTGTCTTCGTTGTTGTAGCATAGGAATCCCAATTGGTATCACCTGCTAAAAGAACAACAGGGTGGTTTTAAATGTGGCAGAATACTTTGATCAGATGTTGTTTCAACAATTAAAACAACGTTGTGAAAGAAGAATCATTCTGTACAAAAATTTCATTTTGGAATCTAATAGCCATAAAGGCAAATTTATGGTCTCAAAAGAAAAGAAAGGAATGGAGGCTAGAGAGATGGCTCAGCGGTTAAGAGTGCTTGCTATCTCCAGAAGACCTGGGTTCAGTTCCCAGCACCCATATCAGGCAGCTCACAACTGCCTGTAACTCCAGTTCCAGGGATCTGATTCCCTCTTCTGTACCTGCACATATATGACATATATTCACACAGACACAGACAGAGACACAGACACACACATACAGACACACACACACACACACACACACACACACACACAATACATCCTTTTTAAAAAAAAGACAAGAAGATCAACTTAATTACTGGGTTTGCCCCAACATTAAAACTTGCTCTTCGCTTTTTTCTGAGCGTTCATACACGCTATTTGAATGACCTTGAGCCCTACATTTAAAAGCATGAAGTTCTATATTCAGGTATCTACTATTACATTTTATTGATCAACTTGCATCCCATTAATCCCATTGTGTATATCTACACACACCTAAATGTCCTGTCCCTACTTCTTCATCTCTCGTCTACTGTCACCCTCCTCTCCCACCTTCCTCCTTGCCAGCCATGTTTACAGTTGCACCTGTTCCTTTCCATATCTGTATGAGGCAGGGTAGAAAGAAAGAAAATTTAGAGTTCAAAGTAATTTAGAGTTCAAAGGAAGGAAAAGGAGTCCCTCACCCTGAGACCAAGCTTGCCTTTTCTCCTGACAGTCTGGAAACTTCAACACTGATGATAAAGCCAGAATTACCTGTACAGATCACATGTTTCTCCAAAGACATTTCAAACAAGGATATTAAAGACAACAAATGAAAGTTGGACATGGTAGCACAGGCCTTTAATCCCAGCACTTAGGAGGCAGAGGCAGGCAGATCTATGTGAGATAGAGACCAGCCTGGTCTACATAGTGAGTTCCAGGTCAGCTGGGGCTACAGGGAGACCATTTTCAAAACAAACAAACAAACAAGAAAATAAACAACAAAAACAAAAAAGAAAACAAATGAACCATGCTTTCTTGGGGACAGAGTGCTTGTAACCCTACTAAAACTCTTCTCTTACCCCTAAATCTAAAAAAACACACCTCATAGAACCGCCTTACAATTTCATTTATGTAAGAAATTTTTGATCTAAGTTAGAAATGTATTTTCCAACTCTGCCCCATACTGGCTCATTGAAATACTTTCTGTGACAAAGCCTAGGATCTGGTTTTACTTGAAGGAAGATTTTTAAAGAGAGGAAGGGAAATCCATACAGCAGCGTAGCTGTGTCTCTGCCTCTACCTCTGCTGACTTGTATACATGTGGGTGTAATCATATGTTGATTTATATCTACATATATAAATATATAGACATAATGGAGGTCAGCTCTCACCATTTTGTTTTACAAAAATGAACTCAAACTCCACAAGGTGTCATTTTCTTATATCAGTTACTAACAGTGTCTTACCGTGACTTACCTAGGGCCAGGGTAACTCATCCTTTTAAAGAACTGTGAAATTCCAGGGCTAGAGAGATGGCTCAGTGGTTAGGAGCACTGGCTGCTCTTGCAGAGGACCCAGGTTCAGTTCCCAGCACCCACATGGGTTCCAGGAGAATCCAATGCCCTCTTCTAACCTGCATGGGCATTGTACCACATGGGTACACTTACACACATGCAGGCAATATACTCATACACATAAATAAAATAAAATAAAATAGTAGTTTTCTCTAAAACATTATGAAAACTTCATGAATTTAATCAAGTAGTGCATTGTCTGATGCTTCCTTGCTTCCTTCTATTATCTTTTTGCAGTGTATGCTTAAGTTTGTAGGAAAGATCATGGAACTAGCGGAAGAACCCTGATTCAAAGATAGATGAATGGTTTGCTCAAGCAAGTTATGCAGTTCCCACTGTTGCTTCTAGAATCCTAGAATTTATATATAATAAATAGAGTTTCTTTATTTTCAAATCTA